TAAAATGCACAAAATATCTGGGAGATAACAGAATACATGTAGGATTTATATGTAAAAGAGGCCCTAAAGCCCCTAGGAGACTTTGGCTGGCTACATCTGCATATGGAAAGCCCAGGAATGTGGTTTTTAAAAATGAGGAGATAATGACTTTGCCCCCTTGGGTTCAACTTGCTTTTCCTCACTCCATCATCTACATGGGAGAATAAAAGGGGCTTAGGATACAAAAAATGGAGAACCTAAAACCTCAGAGCTGGTTAGTATTTAGGAGGAAGATAGCCAATAGCTGATTTATAATCTAGCCTTTACCAATTAAAAGTGGGAAGTATATGTATAGTGGGGGAAAGGGGAGAATCCTTTAATCTGCTTAATGAGGTCAATCCCATGGAACTGGGCACGTGCTCTGGCTCCATGGAGATGCTTACCGGACTGTTACTTATAGACAGGGGCTTCCACTTTACTGAGATGACACAATGATTTGTGACTGGTCTTTATGTGTCCCTATGACTGAGGCTTGTGTTAAAGGGGAACATTCAGCACCAGAGGTGATGAACTTTTACAGAATAATATTGAGAAGGATGGAGGGAAGAGGGGAGAGGAGATTTTTCTTTTCTCCTAGAGGCCCAGCAACCATGACATCTTTACCTAGAGTATGTGGAATGGAAAATAATGTATTTGATAAAGCCTGAGATGGAACCTAAAGTCTCTGGCTGTCTCTTCTGTTTTACATTTCTTTCCCAAAAGGTAATCTTATAAATTCAAGAGGGTGGAGTTCCTAAATTGGTTATCACTGACCAGCAGGTAATGCTTCCAGTAACTTTGTCACTTGTGGGGGAAGATGACTCACTGACAGGGTCCTATTGAACATCGAAGTCCTAAAGAGCCATGCCTGGCTAACCAGAGATCCAGATTTTATGGACTGCTCGCTCCCACAGTGCAGATCTGAGGTGAATGTGAAATATCTCTTCTTCAGTCCCATGAAATTGTCTCCATCACCCAACAGATGAGCACAACAGATAATGTCTTATTTGTTAAAAGTGTTCTGATAAGCCCTTTCTGTTTTAAATATAACATGCCCAGAGTGCCTGGGATGACATCTCCCCTACATGGAGAAGCTGAGGGGACCACTGTGTGGGGAGTCGTGATAACGTGGGCCTCGGAGAGATTGGGGAATATGTGTGGATATTCTATAACTGATTCTGGTCTGCAATCCACATGGTTAAGAGGAACCTTTTTTGATTGACTCTGTAGCCAGAACTAGGAGCATCTTCAAAATAGCTGAGCCCAATCTAGGGACACCTCTTTTAATCATTCTCACTTTCAGTTTATTCTGGTGTTATGCCAGCTGCTGTCATAGCATCTGGTGCCACTAAGAGATGATGCTGGACACATAGGGGTCTTGGAGACTCCTTCCGTCTGGGGCAGCTAGGTAGCACAATGGACAGAGCACCAGCTCTGGACTCAGGAGGATCTGACTTCAAATCCAGTCTCAGACCAGACACTTGACACTTACTAGCTGTGTGACCCTGGGCAAGTCACTTAACCCCATTGCCTAGCAAAAACAAACCCCTCCCCCCAAAAAAGAGAGACTCCTCCCCTCTGAGACCATGTGACCCTGTGCCTAAAATGCACTCCCTTATCAACACTACCTCCTTGGAATTCTGGCTTTCCTTCAAGACTTAGCTAAACTATGGCCTTCTTCATGAAGCCTTTCCTGGTCCCTCTATTCCCTCCCAGTGGCTAAGGTATCCCTTTTAAAAACTACCTGGCATTCATTTTGTATATGTTCTATATATAAACTTATATGTATGTATTCACATTGTCTTCTCCATTACAAATGTAAGCTCCTTAAGGGGAGGTACTATTTTTTTTTATTTTTTTTGCCTTTTTGGTGAGGCAATTTGGTTTAAGTGACTTGCCTAAGGTCACATAGCTAGTAAGTGTCAAGGTCACATAGCTAGTAAGTGTCAAGTGTCTGAGGCCAGATTTGAACTCAGGTCCTCCCAACTCCAAGGCTGGAGCTCTATCCACTGTGCCACCTAGCTACCCCCAAGGGGAGCTACTATTATACCTTCTCTTTATATCTCCAGGATTTAGCACAGTGTCTGGCACTTGGTAAACTTGCAATAAATGCACGTTGATTGAAAGAAAAAAAGGTAGGAAGAGACAATAGAATTTCCATGCCTCAAATCATATTGTAAACAACAATCATCAAAACTATTTGGTAGCTGATTAAAAAATATTTTAAATACAGTGTTGGAACAAAAGAGGTCTTTTACAACTATGGTCAGAGAGGGGATTACTGATTAAACAAGGGGTAGAGGGTAGTTAGTTATAAAATACAGAATTTCAGGAATATAAAATTTTTAAATTTGTGCACAAAGAAAATCAATGTAGATGGAATAAGAGACACTGTTGAGTGGGGGAAAAATCTGCATCAATCATCTCTGATAAGTCTGATATTGAAGATATATCAGAAATTAACACAAATATATAAGCCCAAGATACATTCCCGAATTGATAAGTATTCAAAGAAAATGAATAAATTTTAAAACAAGAATTGCAAACTGTCAATGACTATATGAAATATGCTCTAAAACATTAATAAGATAAATACAAATTAAAATAACTCAGGTTTCACCTAACAATCAGCAAATTGACAAAGATGACAGAAACTGGAAATGGTCAATGTTGGAGGGGCTACAGGAAGACAAGCATGCTGACACACCATTGGCAGAGCTTTGAATTGGTTCAACTGTTCTGGAAAACAATTTGGAATCATCTAAGAAAAGTATCTACACTGTTCTTACCCTTTAACCCAGCAATCCCATTACTGAATATATAACAAAAGGCCTCATTTACAGCAAAATATGCACAGCAACACTTTTTGTTGAAGCAGGCCACTGGCAACAAACTGGCTGCCCATCAGTTGAGGAGTAACTAAATACGTAGTATATGCATAGATTGGAATATTATTGTGCAGTAAAATTATTTATGTGAAAAATTCGAAGAAATATGGGAAGACTGATATAAACTGATAGAGTAAAAATAAGCAGAACCAATCAATCAGTCAATAAGCATTTATTAAGTACCTACTATGTGCCAGGCACTGTGCTAAATGCTAGGGATACAAATAAAGGGGAAAAAAACAGTCCTTGCCCTCAAGGAGCTTGCAATCTAATGAGGGAAGACAAATCACCAAAGGAGGCTGAAAAGGGAAAGAAGAGATGGAGGAGGAGAAGGTACCTGACTTGGGGGAATGGTAGAGAAGTTGGTCAGTCCCAAAGTAGTGAAGCACCCTGAGAAATGAGATGTCTGAGCTAAGCTCTCTCCATAAATAAAAGTTTAGAGTTCATGGTCCCACCCTCCAGTCAGAGGGATAGAGGGAAGTGATGAAGTAAAGTCCTAATGTTGACGGAATCTACCAGAATGAAGAAGCTATCCCAATAATGAGCTTCTTGGAGCATAGTGGAGAAGTCAATCAGAGAAGTCTCAAAGTAGTGCAGCCAGGTGAGAAATGAGAAAACAACCAGCAGAAGAACATACACAGTGACTATAATAATAGAAATAAAAAGGCACACTAAAAGGAACCTGAGTTCTAAGTCATTGTCACCAGATCAGTTGTTTCTTCTGCTTTTCTTTGTTATAAAGCAGAGTTCAGTTCTGTGGGAAAGGGTTTGGGGAGAAGTGGGGTTAGTGGAGACATAACCAAAAATTATTATAAAGTGCAAACCAAAGGCATCAATAAAACTTTTTTGAAAAATAAAACAACCAGGCATGGTGGTACACATTTGTAATCTCAGCTACTAAGGGAAACTAAGATTGGTGAATCTTTAGAGGTTGGGACTTCTGAGCTATAGTGAGCTAAGCTGATTACTTGTCTGCACTAAGTTTGTCTTCAGTATGGTGAAGCCTTGGGGACAGAGGCAACCAGGTGGCCCGAGGAGGGGCAAATCTGCCCAGGTCAGAAGTAGAGCAGGTCAAAGTTCCCATGCTGATCAGTTTAAGAGTCTTGTCTGTGAACTGCCAGTCTAGGGTGAAATGTGGATATAATATAATATAATGTAATATAATATAATAATGTAACATAATGTAACGTAATATAACATGATATATAATAAAATATAACATATTATAAGATAGAATAGAATATACAAAACATAAAATGACATATTTTTTTTAAATAAGATAGTTTATCCTAGTAATCAAGAATTCTCCAGTCTGGCTCCAGCCTATTTTCCAGCTTTGCTTGATATAAGGCATCTTAATAGATATTGCGGTCCAGCCATTCTGGACTGCTTGTCCTTGCCAATCTTCTCCTACCCTCTCCTACCTCTGCAGATTTGCATAAATTTACCCATGGCACCCCTAATGCCTCTCCTCCATCTCAACATGCTGAAAAGCCCAGCTCAAGCAGCAATGACTCAGGAGCACACTGGAAACAGCTCAGTTCTGCTTGGAAGAGCTGATTGTTACACCCTGGAAATCAGGGCTGGACTGTTCTGTTGATTGTCTCGACTTGAGAAAATGTTGGAAATTAAACATGTGGCACCATGAAACATTTACCAGCATGCTCCTGGGGAGAACCAGGTGCTGCCAACTGCCCAAGCCACCACCCAGGGGTTGGGATGCAAAAAAGGCCAAGGCCCTGCCTGACCCTAACAGGACAGGGAGGTAGAAAACCTTTGCTGGAAGAGGTTTGGGGTCTAAACTTGGGCCACTGAGCCAGGAAGGCTGGGGACCAGCACTGAGGCCCCAGTGCACTGGGGTCAGATCTTTGGGGTCAGCCCCCTGCCTCAGCCCAGAGCACAGACGGAGGCCGGTCTGGCTGGAGAGGGATGTTCGCTGCCTGGCAGGGCCCCAAGACAGCAGGTAGGCTCCTGCCCCCACCCCACCCCCACACTGGGCTCCAGGCTTCCATGCCTGCAGGGGGAGCTAGAGAGCTGCCCAGAGCTGAGGGAAGGAGAGGGGAGAGCAGCCCCCAGAGCCAGGCAGAGGACAAGATGGCCTGGGCCCTCCTGGCCCTCCTGTTGCCCCTGCTGCTACAGACTGACCACGCCTGTGAGCAGGGACGGCCAGGGGCAGAGCTGAGGGCAGCGGTGACCCCCCAGTGAAAGGGGCAGAGCTCAGGGCAGTGGTGACCCCTCAAGTGAAGGGGGCAGAGCTCAGGGCAGCGGTGACCCCCCAAGTGAAAGGGGCAGAGCTCAGGGCAGCGGTGACCCCCCAAGTGAAAGGGGCAGAGCTCAGGGCAGTGGTGACCCCTCAAGTGAAGGGGGCAGAGCTCGGGGCAGCGGTGACCCCCCAAATAAAGGGGGCAGAGCTCGGGGCAGCGGTGACCCCTCAAGTGTAGAGGGGCAGAGCTCAGGGCAGCAGTAAACCTCCCCCCAAAGTTTGAGGAGGGAAGGACTCAATTCCCAATATAAATCACACAGACAGACAGACAGACAGACACACACACACACACACACACACACACACACACACATGATTTATTGCTGAGACAAGTCTGTGGCCAATAACTTTCCCTTCTCTCCCTTGCCCCTCTGCTAGATGAACGAGATAAAGATATGTATGAAGGTAAGACTTGGGGTCCAGAAGTCTAAAATTTTGGAAAATAAAGAAACTAGCTAGATGGAGGGAGGAGAGTAAAGGGGCAGCTATCCTGGCAATGGAACAGGTATCAGGTAAGGGACATGAGGAAGTGGGATGTAGGAGTAGGAAGCTAGGGGCCTCAGAAGAAAGGGAGGCCTAGTCCTTGGTATGGGCATGACCTACTAACTAAAAACAGAGCCAGAATGTCAAGCTCTTCAGGGGGAGGTTGGCTGGGAATTAGAAAGCAGTGGGGCAGGACTGGTGGCCTGTTCTTAGGAGACCTTTACTTCCCCCCACAGTATGTGGACGTCCAAAGCTCAGACCCCGGGATTTCACTATAGAACCCCGGCGTGGACGTTGGCCATGGCAAGCTAGCCTACGGTATAAGGGCAAGCACTGGTGTGGTGCTACCCTAATCCAGCCTGAATGGATAATAACAGCTGCCAGCTGCTTCAGATTGTGAGTGATTTCTTAGGGATGGGGCTGGGGAAAAGTCAAGATGGACCCATAGGGGTCACCAATGGAGGGCCTCTGCTGACTTTAAGGCCATCGGGTATCTGCTCTCTTTCTACCAGGTCCAATAACACTGGGGATTACAGTGTGATGATTGGTTCTGTCTATGCCTACCCAACCACTCGTTTCATGCCCACATTTCTACAGCACCGAGAATATTTCCCCAGGGTAACGAAAATCTACGTTAGGCCTGACTATGTTCCTTACCAGTTTGGGGACATTGCCGTAGTAAAGCTGAGCCAACCAATCCCATACCGAAGACATATTTCACCTGTCTGCCTCCCACTAGGACCCTGGGAATTGAAATTAATCAGACAGTGCTGGATAACAGGATGGGGAAAACTCGGAGAATCTCAAGGTAAGTCTTATCTAAGGGTGTTAGGACTGTGTACTTGGATGACACCACTGAAAAGTTGGCTGCATCTCCCTCAATAGGTAGGCCAAACCCACTGCCATCGATCTGGAAGGGCCTTGGATTTCCACTGCTTGCTAGCACCAGCCATTCCCTCTTTTGCTCCCAAACGCTGCTCGGGTGACAGATCTCATTTATTTCTTTACTCTTTAGTTTATTCCCTGGACCCTAAGAGAAACTGCAAGAACAATACTTCTTAGACAAAATTTCAAAGCATCATCCCCATCCCAAGAAATCAGGGACTTTGGAGAAGGAAGTCAGTTCAAGTCAAACTGGTGTTTTGCAGACTGGTGGGAAGAGAGTCAATACATTGGAGAGAGAAGCCTCATGGAAGGAAAACTTGGGTTCAGTGGCTAACCCTAGTACTTATGTCACCATGGGCAAGTCACAACCTCTCTAAGCCTCTGTTTACTCTTCTGTAAAATGGGGATAATTATTCCTAGAGTACCTACCTCATAGGGGGATAATACCAGCAGTAACTATACGATGTGATTGATGCTCAAGTGAGACAACGAATTCATGTTCGTATAATGTTTTAAGGTTTGTAAAGAATGTTATATGAATTTTCTCATTCGATCCTTACACCAGCCCTGTGAGGTAGGTGCTATTAGGATGCCCACTTTACAGATGAAAATAACTGAGGCTCAGAGAGAGATTAAGTGATTTTCCCAGTCACACAGCAAATAAGTGGCAACATGGTATAATGGGTAGAGTGTTGGACTTGAAGTCAGAAAGACCTGGATTCGAATCTTGTCTCAGCCACTTGTTAGCCATGTGATCTTGGGCAAGTCACCTAACTTCTCAGGGCCTCAGTTTCCTCATTTGTAAAAATAAGGGGGTTGTATTCAGTTACCTATAAGTTCTCTTTCAACTCTAAATCTAGAATCAGGATTGTCAAAGGCAGGTGTGCCTTTAAACATACCTGAACCTTTTTCTTCTGGATTCAGTCGAGCACTTTGGCATTACATCAGGACAGTTCTCTATAGTGCATAGAAAGTCCTCTGCAAACTTAAAAATGGTATCCATGATTCTTATCTAGAAAGGATGCCACCTTCCAGCACTGTGCAAGATACTCAGTACAAAGAGATATAAGAAACAAGCCTTGCCACCATTAAGCTTCCACTTCACTGTGGAGACTAGATATGAACATTTGGTAGCAATATTAGGTAGGATTCCTTATACCAAAAGTGGCTTAGAATAGAAGGGATATCAGCAGTAAATTCTAAGGAGAGAGATCACCCTGTGCAGAGCTATAGAAGGGATTGGACTGAAGCCGCAATTCCCAAGATAGAGAGATGGAGAGGTGGCAAAGTGGGCACAGTATGAGCAAAGGTGGGCCAAGAAGCATAGGGACAGTGAGTAGATGGACTTGACATATTGGAGCAGAGGAATGGAAAGGTGGAATGGAAGCTGACTGAGAAGGGTCTTGAATGCCAGGATGTGGCATGCAGACTTCTATTCTGTGATTTCACTGCTTTGTCTGTGATATTCTATTCCCAGAACCTCAGGCAAACCCATACAAAAGACAAGAGCTACAAAGGAACATACTTAGTTTTGTTTTGTTTTGTTTTGTTTTCCTGGATTTAGGGGAAGTCTATAGAGGAAAGCAACATGGAAGAAGCTGGGACTCCCAGCATAAAAAAAAAATGGAAAGGTGGCTGAGTGGGTGCCACAAGAGCAGATGTGGGGAGGCCAGGAGGCATGGCTATCTAGGCCACTCTGTACTCCTTAGTGATGAGCACCAATCAAGATGGGACCATTAAGCTATACAAGAATTGACAACAGCCTGTTTGTTACTTCTCAATGTCCCTTACTTTAATACTAATGTCTTTTTGTCATGTTTCTTTAGCCCTAGAAGGTTCCATGGAACTTCGGGAGGGAAGAGTGAAAATTACTGACTTAGATAGGTGTGAAAACGTCCAAGGTCCCCTGGGACAATTCTCAGACTCTGAAACCTACCGCAATGATGAACTTTGTATACTCATGCCATTATATCCAGCTGAAAGATGTGTGGTAAGAGACAGCCCAATAAAACTCAGTCATCGCTGTTTGCCTAATGACCCCAAAGAAACCCAAGCATCCCCAGTATCCTACACTGGACCCAGGTCTTACCATCCCTAAGAATTCACACTGGACCTAAGCTTCCCTATTTCATAGACCTAGAAGTCTCACCACCACTAATTTCTTCCTCACTGGCCTTTCTTCTTTCTCCAGGGTGATCAAGGTGGCCCCCTAATATGTCGCATTCAGGATATCTATTATCAGTTTGGGATCATGAATTGGGACCGTGGCTGTATGGCAGGAATTAAGACCAAGACTTTCACCAGTGTTGCCCTCTACAGTGCCTGGGTTGAGAAAATAATCAGCAGCACCACCACCCTGAGTCCATTCAAGTTCATTCTCCTTGCCTTGCTTCTACCCCAAGCTCTTCTAGAGCTCTTCTGAGCACATTTTTAGTTTTTCCTCCTTGAGGCTTGGCAAAGTACAGCTAAGTACAGTACTTGGCTAAGACAGCCGTATTCAGGGCTCTTACCTCCTTTACTCACTTGAAAGGATATATAAGGGTCCCTATTTCCTGGGATGGGGAAACACATACCAGGTTCAGAGAAATAAGTGGTACAAGAGAAGGTAGGGATGGGGAGATTGTCAGGACCATTTGTCTTTCTGCCAAGAGGTCCTTTTGGAGAGTGGCTTACAATGGCAATAAAATGTTATTGATTTCAACATTGATTATACTGATGACAATTTCCTGGTAGGTATAGGGACAGAACTTGAGGGAATTCTCAAGCCTGAGGAGAAAGCCAGGTGTAATGGTGGGAATTTTGGGAGGGGAGTCTAAGTCAAGGCTGTGTGATGGCCAAGCAAGAGTATTGGAACTTGGGGTCTTTTACAAGGTGACCTAGGATTTCATTTAGGGAAATAGTTTCCTTCAAAAATAGTTTCAAATGGGCCTTGTTCTAGAGGCAAGAGAATTGATCTAACTGCAAAGATAAAACCCTCATGTGAGCCTTTGGCAGTGGAGTTGGAAAATACACAGGGGCAAAAATACCACATGTGTAGCTACAGGGGGTGGGGAGTAATCAAGGAGGAAGTGAGGGAGTGAGGTAGAAACTTGGTCCCTCTTCTTCCCTTTCCACCATGGAGGGATGGAAGCTTAGTAAGGACTGAGCTTTTCCCTCTTCCATTCACTTCATTCTCACCCTGCTCCAGACACAGCACGCCAGCTGTGACCTGATCCTTTTTCTTGAGAGCAAAGGTGGAAAGCTAGAAATGGCAAGGAAGATGACTATGGACACGACTATAGGACAAGGCAATATGGAAGAGATTGGACATAAGCAGGTCCTCCCAGGATAAAGAGCTGAAAAAGGGACAAAGTTGGCATAGATGAAAAGATGGGGAAGTCAGGATGCATGGCAGGTGCTAAGGACAGTGAGAAGATAGGCTTGACTGAGGTGTGAAATATGGAGAGCATTTGAAGAATTCCCCTCAGCCAGACCCTACTGATAATCTCAGCAGATCAGTGGAAGAACTAACTGCAGGAGAGCCCTGACTGGTGTACAGGAACCAAAGGTCTCCAGGGAACCGTTCAACTCAGTCTGTGCCAACTTAAACAAATACCTCTTTCCACATTGTGGCTTCTACTTCACCATTATCTGACCTTTTCTATTCTGACCATGTGATTTCTAGGCCAGCTGGGTGTCTTGGATTCAGAGATTTGCTGCACTCCAGTCCCTAATTACCTGCCACATTTATGACATCACTCTTGTCTGTAGGTACCCTGGTTCCAGTTGAGTTTCATTCGTCAATCATTTGTTATACATCTATTATGTATAAAACTCCTGGATTTTAATCCAGGTCCTTTGATTCCAAAGTTGGAGAAAGCTCTGTCCACCGTACCACTGAGCCTAAAGATTTCCCCTGTTCCCCTCAAAGTTGTTCTCCAGTAAAGGATATTCTATGTTGCTGGTGACAGTCCCAATCTACTTCCTGTCTCCCTCTCTGCGGAGACTGGGCAACAGTGGCAGCAGGGACTAATATAGGCTTAGTGGGAGTAGTCGGGGACACTTGAAAGGGCAGCTCCCATCCAGCTCTAGGATGAGCTGGGCTGAGTTTGGCAGAAGAAAGACATTAAGCTTTATTGACACTTAATATGTGGACTGATACTAATTCTCTCACTTGGTCTGTATATCAGATGGTTGATCACATGCCACCTATGGCTTGCAAAATAAATATCCTAAAGGAAGAGTTAGAATATCACAACTCAGAAGCATTTACAAAGGTGCCCTCATTCATTCCTTCACTTTCAGCATCTTGTCACCTACTACTTTATCACGAGGTTTACACTTGTGTAAACATTATAATGAAGCAATTACATTGCTCTTGTTAGAAATAGGATCATCCATGTAAGAAGTAGCTGGAGGGGAGGGGCATCCCCATCTACCCATACCTCACAATGAACCTAGATATGTCTATCTTCCCAAAACCTCCTCACTGACCTCAAGCATCTACACTTGCCCCATACCTTAGATTCAATCCAGGAATCCCCACTATGTGCCTTTCCCTAGACTTTCCATCCCTTCACCAAGGACTATGTTTTCCCATGAGCAGTCCTTTGGCCTCCTCTTATCCTCAAAGTGACTGAGGGATAGAGGTGGAAGAAGGGAGGGGTCTTAGTGTATAAGGTCAAGGATATCTGGCTCCATGATAAGATTATGAGTTGGTATTATGAAATATGATTCCCAAATACCCAAGTCTCTACCCTGACAGTATTGGATTGATTGATCTATTGGAAAGGTCCAAAAATACATTAAAGAGAATGATTCAAGCACCTCTGCCATGGGCCTCTTTGGGATCCTCTTCTTTCCCTCTCTTCTGCTGCCCCATTCTCTCTTTTCCTGGGAGTGATCTCAATGGGTATGTGGTGAGTGTGGCTGTAGCCCAGCTAAAGGGCCAAGGCTTCCTCCAAGGCTATCAGCTTTGGCAAAGATAATTTAGTTTACCTTCATGGGCTAGTGCTGTGGAGCCCAAAGCTCCTCTGGTCAGATCCTCCCTCAATGACTTCTCTGCTCAAACCCTGGAAGGCTGGAAGACACAAAGTTTTGCCTCTGCCCTCTTTAAAAGGCCCCCAAATCACCAACTATTATCAGAGACCCAGTTCCCTTTATCATAGATTTGACCCTAAGTCTACAGCCCAGAATTTCTGGTCTTCTTGGGCTCCTAAAGATTCAGGAATCCAGATGGGTAATAAGCACCTGCTCCTCAGTGAGTAGGACATTGCTGCAGTTATGTACTACATTCATTAGGTAATCCACTAAAATTCTTGTTGGGTTGCTTAGTTAAACTTTATCTGAGAACAAGTTGGATGGGATTGTGGGTGGGGAAAAGAACCAGGAGACTGGATACTGTCAAGGGAGGGCTGTCAGAAGATAAAGGGTCAAGTTAGGAGACTGAGCACCTTCAGAGAAGGGATAGGGGACCAGGAGGAAAAGAAACACAGAAAATATGATCTGTAATGGAGATTAATGTCTTTCCAATAAAATCATAGGGTGAAGCAAGGATATCCTTATTACCACTATTGTTTGGGATGGTGCTAGAAATGTTAGTTGTAACAATAGCATGAAAAAGAAATTGAGGAAAGAAGCAAAGACGAAACAAAATTATCACTTTTTTCAGGTGTGTGGAACATTGCATATATTGTCAGATTTTTTTGATGCATTGACCTGTTTTACTGGGGTTTTTCCTCTTTTTCTTTATTCTTTTTTTTTAATGTATTATTTGTCATAAGAGTTGAGTCTCTTCGAGTGGGAAAGGGAGAGATAAATAAGGAAAAGATAGAGACAAAATTTTTTAAAGAAACTTTTGGTATTAAAATGAACTGTTTTTAACCAAAAAAGGGAAAAGGGTGCTATTGCACCATTCTTGTTATAAAGGATAATTCTGTGGGAAAGGAAGGCAGGAAGGATATATTGAAATGGAAGTGATACAAAAAAGGGGGGGGCATCAATAAGGATTTAAATAAAGAAATAAAAGTCCTGGTTTCTGTTGAGGGCTTCTAATCACCCTGATTCAAAGATTCAACCCTTTCCTCTCTCCTAAGCCCTATAGTCAATCAATTACCTCTTCTACCCAGGTTTGAATCTTCACTGTGTTACTTACTCTCAGTGCGACCTCGGACAAATCATTTAAACTCCTTGGGTCTCAGTTTCCCTATCTATAAAATGAAAGGCTTGCACCAGATGACTTCTAAGGTCTCTTTCAGTTTTAATCTATTATCCCGTTGTATAGGAAGCTGGATTCGCATTCACCCCATGGAGTATGCCTAGGGGGTAGGGGAAGAGGGAATGAACCTGGCAACTTCCAGGGACCCTTGTGGCTCAACACAGAAGGGACTAGTATTTCAGGATAAAGCTACAAACCCTGAGTGACCATTTGGTTCCTCTCCCCTCTGACCCTGATGCCTATGCCTCACCATAGCAGCAGTGGGCTGAGGCATTGTGTCATTTATAAAGGAGAGGAAGTTTTTGCTCTCCTCCAGCTCTTCCTTTGACTCTTCTGAATGTGTAGCAAGTGGCGTTACCTCTCTGGGGCACCTCACCCATGCCAGCAGCATGGTGATGGGCACAAGACAGCTGATGTTGTGGTTATTTGTGCTGTTCCACCATGATCCTTCAACTTCTCACTCCTGTCCCCTTCTCTACACTCCTATGTCCAGTTCAGTACCTTATCCCCACTTGCCTGTGTAGTTGGGAAAGCGTCCTAACCATACTTCTGGCTTCCAGTCTCTCCTCACTCCAAACCATCCTCCACACAGTTGCCAAAGTGATCTTTCCAAAGCAGGCATCTGATATTGTTACCTCCATAGGCTTCAGGAAGCTGTAGGGTACCTGTGTGTGTGTGTGTGTCCTGCACTCCTTTGGACCCTTTTTTCAGAATTATGTTTTTAAATGAATGAAATTAAAATACATCAAATTACAAAGGAAATCCATTGTACTGAAATACAGTTATACTTTTTGTTTTGTTTTATTATGCAAGTTTACTGACTTCCTGGAATCTGTCCATAGATCCAAGGTTACTGGTTCCCTAATGCCAATAGGATCAGATATCAGTTCCTCAGCTTGGCATGTAAAGACTTTCCCAATCTTGCTCAAACTTACTTTCATCACCTTATTTTATATTGCCCTTCACATGCTCTACATTCCAGCCAAACTGGCTTCTTTGCTGTTGCCCAATCTCAGCTTTCCATCTCTTGCCCCCTCTGCCCTCACACTGGCCTTGTCCCATGCCTGAAATTCACTCACTCCTTAACTCCATATCCTAGAATCCCTAGCTTTCCTCGAGGTTTGGGCTCAAATTTCATGTCACTGGCCCCATCTTACAAAGTTTACAAGGTCAAAATGAACAATAAAAGGAAGGGTCTTATCCTCCCATCCTGAGCGGAGCAGTGGATTGAGGGAAGCAGCAGAAGGTCTTTTCTGAATTAGGCCTGAAAGGGCCTGTTTTAGAGGGAGGGAAGAAGGGGTAGGGGAGGCATGGAGTGTGAAGGTTGAGGCTGACAAGGGCTTTACCCAGGCAGGCCACATGCCCCCTACTTCTGCTCTGCCATCCTAATGTCTCCCACAGGGAATTAATCAGAGACCAAATCTTAATTATAGCAAGGAGAGGGATCCACTAGTTCCCCACCTGACTCTTTTCCCACTTTATCTCTGGCTTCTCTGTTTGTTTCTCTCTATATTTGTGTACCCCTCTCTCTGTTTCTTTCTCTCTGTCTCGTTATCTCTCTGTCTCTCTCTGTTTGTGTGTGTGTGTCTTTCTCTCTGTCTCTGTCTCTCTCTCTGTCTCTCTGTGTCTCTCTATCTGTCTCTGTGTCTCTCTCTGTCTCTGTCTGTCTCTGTCTGTCTCTCTGTCTCTCTCTGTCTCTGTCTATCTGTCTCTCTCTCTGTCTCTTTCTCTGTCTCTGTCTCTCTGTCTCTCTCTCTGTCTCTCTCTCTGTCTCTGTCTCTCTCTGTCTCTCTCTCTCTGTCTATCTCTCTCTCTCTGTGTGTGTCTCTCTCTCTGTCTCTCTCTCTGTCTCTCTGTCTCTGTCTCTCTCTGTCTCTGTCTCTCTCTCTCTCTTTCTCCTTTCTAAGGGGCTTCTGCTGAGGTGTGCTCTTTCTGAATTCTGTCCCAGACTGCTGTCTCTGACTCATGAAGACCCTGCCTCAGTGGGCTCCGCTAGCCCTGGCCACCACACCAGATAGACAAAGGCCATTGCGGGATGCAGTGAGGTGAGGACAGGAAGGAGGAAGGGGAAGGGACTGGGGCTTGGGTGAGGGCACTGCTCCCCCGCAGCCCTCCTCCCACAATCCCTATCCCCAACACCAGGAAGGCGCCAGCCTCCTCCACTCTGCCCCCTGGGCCCTGCTGTGGGGAGATGAGGAGAGGAAGCAGAGAAAAAAAGCCCAGGCCCCACGATCTCCAACAGCTTCCCAGCTTGGGCAGAGACTAGGAGCCTCCTGAGGGCAGGGGCCCCAAAGCTAGAAGAGCATGGGCTGGGTCAGCCTACTCCTCCTGCTGCCCCTGCTTCTGAGGGCCGGGGACAGAGTGAGGCGGAGCAGGGGGGTCTTTTGCAGGGATGGGGGGTACATACATGGGAGAGGGATGGACTATGGCCATGGGTGTATGCATGTTACAGGTGAGGTGAAGAGGGGTAGTTCAGCAGGGATGGGTCCATGGAGAGGGGTAAGTGCAGGGATGGGGTCTAGGCCAGGGGTAGGTGCATGTTACATGCATGGGGGAGGGGTGGATGAGGGCAGAGATAGAGTTCAGGCCAAGGGTAGGTGCATGTTATATGCATGGGGGAAGGGTGGATGAGGGCAGGGATGGAGTCGAGGCCAGGGAGGAGGCAATCCATAGGAGTACTAAAATGCAGAGCATCATGCTCCCTCAGAGTTCAGTCCTCCCTACCCTCTCCCTGCAGGTATTCAATGGTCTGACCTGAGTAAAGGTAAGAAATCCAGACTAGGGACCAAAAGCCCAAGTTCTCAGAGATGGAGGAAAAGATGGTCCTAAGGGAGGAAAGGAAGCAGCAAAGGCCAGGGCATCTTGATGCTCAAAATGGAGACGGAGGGGCTAGTCAGGAACCTGGAACAATCACAGACAGGATTCCTGAGTCCCTTTGCACGATCTCTTTTCCTTTTATCCAAGTCTGTGGAAAAACTCTGACTCAAGGACGAATCCTCGGGGGCCAGGAAACTACCCTAATACAGTGGCCATGGCAGGCAAGCCTGAAGTATAAGACCCACCACTGGTGCAGGGTCACCCTCATCCACTCCAGCTGGGTGATGACAGCTGCTCATTGCTTCCAACAGTGAGTGCCTGATCTAAGCAGGGTCTGGAGGGTGTGAAAGGACCCAAAGTGAACAGGGAGGTACCAGGGAGTCCTTGGACCCCTATTTCTTAAGGGTATAGTTGGATGGGGAAGCAGAGTCAACATTAGGGCCCAATCCCTAGCCCATTTACCTTCCCCTGTCTGGACCTAACCTCCACCCCTGGCCCAAACCCTCTGTTCCCCAGTCTTTTCTCAGTCCTTAGAAGGGCCCTGAGGGATTTTGGACACCTGACTTACCAACTGAGTTAAAAAAGGTCCTGGAGAAACTGTCATACAAACAGGGCTACCTTCACAAATGGGGAAGGAACTGTCTTTGGAATCTAAGTCCTTCTAACTTCCTTTCTGTCCGCCTGTCCCCTTCCTGGACCTAGTCCATTACAGAACTGGCTCAAATTCCTGGAGAAGCTTACTCTCCACTGGCTGTCCCCCCATCCCTAGGAAAGTTAAGTCATTCCCTCAACACACACACATTTGCATTTCTACTTAGAACCACTGAAGAGCCAAAAAAAAAAAGCCCTTTTTAGATGCAAAGAAATAAATCTTTAATGGTGGAATTTTTAGGCATCTTGGAATACATGTAGAGGAAAAATTCGGTGTAGGAGTCTGCCAAGTACCTCAAATGACAACAGGTCATTCCTAAATATAAGGTCACACATTCTCACCCACACTAAGAAAAACCTCAGGAGGCCCAGGATTATACTGTCTCTGACTGTTACTTAGCCTGTGTCCACACCCTCAGCGACTAGAAGCAATTCTAAGATAACAGGAACATTCACCCCCAAAACCCAAAAACTCAGCTGCCTCTGAGACAATTCTGCTTCCCTCCTTCTCCCCAGAAACGCTCACGATCCCGGGGCTTGGAAAGTTCAACTGGGCTCCCGTACAATTAAGCCACACAAATTAAGCTTTAGCTATTTGCATTCCCGACGGGTGACCGAAATCATCTTGCATCCCTTCTACTTTGGGGGGCCTCCCAAAGACATCGCTCTGGCCAAGCTGCAGTCACCAATCCGCTTCAAGAGGAGCATCCTTCCTATTTGTCTTCCAACGTCCACGACACAGTTTGAAAATGTGACCATGTGCTGGGTGACAGGTTGGGGAAGAATAAAAGAACATGAATGTAAGGATGGGTAAGAGGACAATGGGCATTTGATAAAACTATTTGCCAGGCTCTAGACACCTGGGTTGCCTGCAGCTGCCTCCCCAGGCAGCTCAACCACATAGAAGCAAAACTGCAAGCCTCAATTGTAATTGCTTATGTGTTTCCTCCCACCCTTTGTCCACATGCTCTACTTATTCCATTTCTTTTTGTCCCTAATAATGATGTGGCATTACATTTGTACAGCATTTTTACAAAGTTTACAAAGTACCCACATAGCCTTCAGTTCATTTGAGCCTGCAATAAGTAAAAGAGACAGGTATGACCCTCCCTATTTTACAGATGAGCAAACCAGAGTCCCAAAGCTTGTAAAGGCAAAGAGTCAGGACTCAAACAGAGGGCTTCTGATTCCTTCCTTAGTCCAGTGCTCTTGTCACTCCATGATGTGACCTCCCTACCACTGGAGCCCAGCAGGAACTGGAGGACAGATCAGCATAACCAAAACACGTAATTGCCAGGTTCAGCATAAGGAAGGTATGAAACAGTCAAAAAAGGAGGAGAGAGGAGGAAGCTATGCCCCAGCTGCTGTTACAAAACAGTTTTAAGAGAAGATGTCATATTTCCCCTGCATTCAGAATGAAGTCTGACTAAACTGGACTATACATAGGTCAGGAAGGGGAATGGAAACCCTCTGTAATGCCTTCTGACTCACAACAGACTACATTCTTTTGCCATTCAATTAATATTTGCTCAAGTGTTCAAAAGTTTCTGAGACACAGAAAGACTTATAAAACAAATTCTTCCTCAAGAATCTCAAAATCTCATTAGGGAGGGGAGACATAATCATGTGAAAATTTAAAAAGCAATGCCAGGCAGCGTATGATGAATACCAAGGAAGGGATACAGTCAGGAAGGACTGTAGGAGGAAGTTCCTGTGGGCTGTAGAAGCCAAGGAAATCTCCTGGAAGAGATGAGATTTGGTCTAGCCCCTGAGGAGAGGCAGAATTTTAGACAGAAAAACATCATGAGCAGAGATTGAGGAGGGGAATGTGCTCATCATGGGAGGGTTAAGGAAACAAATCTACCTGAAATAGTGACTTCATGTTGGGGAATAGCAGTAGGCTGAAATATGGATGGAAAGGTGATGTGGGACCACATTGGGATGAGCCTTAAATGGTACACTAAGAGTTTGGCCTTTATCCAAATGAATAGCTTCACTTTTTAGTTCGAAGTATTTTCAGACTGAATTCTCAGACTTTCTGAAAAACTCATATGATAAAAGGGAAGATTGAAATACACATTCTAGAACAATCTATGAATAAAGATTGATTTATTTAGTGTTTTGAATCATTTGGTCCTTTGAAATTTTTTGTTAAGGGGCACCTAGGTGGCGGAGGGGATAGAGCACCAGCCCGAGAGGCAGGAGGACCTGAGTTCAAATCTGACTTCAGACACTTACCTAGCTACGTAACATTGGGTAAGTCACTTAAACCCATTGCATAGCCAAAAAAAAAAAAAACTTGTTAACATCAATGAAGGTCTTACCATCCAGATCCTAGGCACCCCACCAGAGAGTCACCTGCCTTGATATTGCCCTCCTTCATCACTGACCCGAACTATGAACTTTCCTGTACCCAATCTCTAGACCCGAGAAAACCCTGGAACCTACAAGCGGTGGAATTGCCTCTCATCGATCAAAAGACCTGTGACCTGTACTATCACATAGGAACAAAACTTCCTCCTTTTATATCCAGAATATATGATGATATGATATGTGCTGGCTTTAAAGAGGGCAAGAAGGATGCCTGTCATGTAAGATGGGCCGTTGGTTGCCCTTCACTTTACATTTCTGTTAGGGTCCCTAAATTGGATACAGCAATTGCCAACTACTGACCCTCATATTCTGCCTCTCTTCACCTCTTTCCTCCACTCTAGGAAATCTCTTTTCCCATGACTACCCTTTTAGAGGGACTCACTTTCTCTATCTTCCCCCAGGGTGACTCTGGAGGCCCCTTGGCATGTGAGGTCAAAGGTATCTGGCATCAAGCAGGTATTGTGAGCTGGGGAGATGGCTGTGGTAGACCCTACAGGCCTAGTGTCTTCACCAACGTCAGTGTGCACACCGACTGGATCTTAAGGACAATTAAATCAAACACCTTCAGCTTAATGCCCTCTAAGCTTCTCTTCCTCCTCACTCTACAACTGTCCTAGCCTGCTTCCCAAGTTGTCTGCTTAACGTCTGACAAGTGTGGCCGTGACCTGAGGCCTGAGATGGGGACGACAGGGCTCTTCCAGGGCCAGGCACTTCGGTAAAGATTAATTCAGGTCTCTCGTTTGCTCCAGTCAAAGGGTGTTTGCAGCCCCCTAGGTCCTGGATTGAGAGGGATTTCATGCAAGGCACAAAGTACTGACTAGCAGGAAGAAGTGGTTGTGGAGCTAGGGAGACTGTGATGTTCTCTCTGTACTCACATATTTCT